TCATTGTAGTGTTCACATTAATACGGCACACTTGTCAAGCGTATTAACGTTACATCATGCCTTTTTTCTGCTGCCTTAATCACACAGACTCAATTTGTGTACTGATTTTGTTTGAGTGATGAAAACACCAAAAGGCTCAAACCGTCAAACCATTTTGAATAATCTTCCACAGACTGGTAGGTGTGTTTACCAGCTTAAGGACAGAATTGTCAGAACATGTGGTATGCTTCCTGATATGCATTTTAAAGCAAATTCTCCTGGTTCTGTCTGCTGTGCATGTACACAGTTGTCACTCATGCACCTGTTGTGTTTGACTCAAACTAAAACACTGTGTTATAGGCTAAACAAATCTTGTAAGGGAGCTACAACTTGAATAAATGATGCAAAGAAGCAAAACAAAGTCAACAAAGTCGGTGAAACATGAAAGAAATGGATTTAACCGTGCCAGTGGATCAGAGAGCTGCTCTCCACATCCCTGCAGAGAAAGTAATGAGAGAGTATTTTTGTTTGGATGGATCTGGATAGGCTCCAGATATTCACAGAGCTGGTCCTCGCTATGTTTGCCTGTGATTCAGGCTTAGCTCTTATATGATAATATCAGAGAAGAGGTCAGTGGAGACAGAGTATCCCTGAGTCCCTGAATGCATTGTAATGGCACAGAGCCCATGATTTAATGCATACAGTATAAATCTGTGGTTTTATTTCAATCAAATGTTTCAAATGTTTTAGGTTTGTGCACTCATGGTTAACCCAATCCTTGTATAAATACAAACTTTGTCTCTTTTTATTTGGATGTGATATTTTGTATTTACAGTCTGGCTTTTCTTCTTTCTTCTCTCAGCTTAGGGAAACCTCAAATTACAGCTCTCTCTGCAACTAAAGCAGCCCATCCGACCATGACCATCCTCAAAGGTGACCATGGATGTTTATGTAAATACTGTTTGCATTGTCTGAGCTTTAAGCTGTTTCAGAGAGTCCTGAGACGCTACGCTCGAATACAAAAGTCAGTGAAACCCCAGAAGTACATTTTGTCTATAAGCAAGAACAGAAAGTGGGTTAACTACTTGAAAATGCATCCTAAGCAGTGAGCATAAGCTAGAAGAGCTTAGGGAAGCTAGGGAGACTTTGAGAATGAAAGTCATTTAGTGTTTCTTCACAGTTTGAAAGTGATTGGCACAAATTATGCGAGGTAAGGGAGAGAGTTCTTGACGGACTGGGCAGAGAGAATGGAAACGGAGATTCTGTGGATATTTGATCAATATCAGCACTTTAGCAGCTAGAAATCCAAGACAATCTGAGCAGGATTAGAAAATGAGCCAAATAACTGTGAAAAAGATTATGATACATCCTTTTATTATTGATTGGAATCTTCAGTCACTCTATAATATATGTTGGTATTGCTAAAAAACAAACAAACAAAAAAAAAACAATCCCGACTGCATAGCTGTCTTCAAACAAACAACACCTGTGCAATATTGGAAGCAAGATACTGTTACCATCTGAGAAAGTCTACAACAACCCACATAAGCTTTTGACAGAACAAATAAATACATTCCTGTCGTAACAAAGTTGTTTATCTTGCCGGTGAAAGATACAGTGCATACTGCATTTACTGAGTCATTTATATTCGATTGGCTGCTTTAGCGTTATTGATGCAAAGACAACCTACACAATCCATCATCATTTGAATGCAGTCACAAGATCTCTTTGGCACCAATTTGGACTGCAGATGGGTATAATTGGCTGAGATATGAGAGATGATGTCTTCTTCCATTTTATGTATGAGCACACTGTCTACTACTTGGCCAATGTGTAAAGCATTCACTAAATTAATGTAATGGATGACAACTGATGGAGAAATGAAGTGATGCACTAGTTTAATGTATAGAATTAAACCAAGTCAGCAAGTGTTTTTCAGATAAACAGAAATATATAAATGATATAACAGGAGGCTGCACTGACATGAGTGAAGCATCAGTCATTTTACTGGTTTTGCTATACACCTGCATGACTATGACTGGACATTGCTAGTAAGATGAGCCACTGATTCTGGTTGAACTAATCCCATGCTTCATATACGGAATTATACAAATATCCAGGAAGATGAAGCATTGTTATTGCATATTTGTAACCTTCATTAGATGCTTCAAATAACTTCCAATATAAACACAGGTGTTATTACTGAGCACACAAGGCCACTTCAGGCACTACACTGATGCTAAGATAAAGTTAAGTCTTAATGAAATCCAGTTGAGTTAA